TCCATCAACTGTTTGCTTACCGACATTCTTCAAAATATCATCTTTTGTGTTCAGCAGAAGAAAAAACAACAACTTCAGGGTGAGTAAATTGACTGAATTTTCATTTTTGGGTGAAGTATCCCTTTAAGGTAGCATTAGCAAGCATTAGTACCTACTATGCGTATGCAACCCTATACTGAAAGGCAAAAAGACAGAGGTGTTGGGAAATTTGGAAATGAGAGCATAATGATGAAACAAGGAAAAGATGTTATGGGAGTTGGTTGAAGGTGGGGTGTGAGGGTTTATGCAGTCTTTTCTACTGTGTGACCTACTTAAGGAATACAAATGTGACAGTCACACCAAACAGCAAAAGGTTGTTTAAAGGTTCTTTAAGGTGACTCACATAGACTCAGCCTCTGGCCACAGTCTTTCACACTTTCATTACGGTTGCTTGGCCTTCCTCTTACATCCTATGATCATTTCATCTGGGTAAATGCTATTATCAAAAACAAATCATGTGCTATCTGTCTTCTCGCTTCTTTATTCTAGCATCTAAAATTGAGCTAAAATTACCCATCTAAATTCAAAATTTTAGCACTTGGCTCCCTCCTACTGTGGACGTTCATGCAACATCAACCCAAGTGCTGAGAATCTTTTTGGCTGTCGCAGTCACTTCCTATCCAACACTTCACCGTGGAGGTGACACACACTATAAGTTGCCCTTGGCGACTGCATTCCGTGGGTCAAAGTTCAATACCTTGATTTACAGCATCCTGTCTGGTCGGCTCTGCGGAAATGAGGCTCCTCACCACAGCGTCTTTAAGAAAAAAAAATCTCTGCTATGAGAAATTGACACACGGTTATCTTTTGGTTCCTGCAACCATACTTTCCCGCAGAATCCAGATATGTTTACTGCTAATGTTATTTATTGAAAAATATGGCTTAAGTATGATTTATATAACATATAAAATCATTTTTTAAAAATCATTTTTTACTTTATTTTAAGCTCCGAAAATAACAAAAACACACCACAAAAGTAGCGTTAAATGGTTTCATTTGCAGGTATTTACAGTAGTATTCACACATACAGTAAAGTCAAACATCACTGGTCTTTGATCGTCTTTAAAGTCGAACCTGGTGTGATGCATTTTGACACTATATTTAGATGCACACATAAGCTATTGAGATTTGCAAGTTGCTATAGTTTTCACTGAATAAAAAATTTGATTCTATTCCTCACAAAAAAAAAATAATAATAATAATAATTTGAGGTTACTGCATTAATCATATGAACTATCCAATACTTTTGTGTTGTTTTTCAAGAGTCCTCATTCCCACTTACTTCCATCTTTTTAAAAAAGAACAGCCAGGATATTCTATAAAATGTATTTGTTTTCAGCAGCATTTATGTGTGAGCTTCTTTAGTTAATGAAATGATTCAGTCATTGAGAATATTTTGGTTTTGTATCCTCTCTTTTTGATGTGGGATGCTTTCCTTATTGATTAGTTCACATCTGCGTGTACAGGCAAGCCTGTAGTTTTGAAATTGGAATAGATTTTTTCCCTTCCCCATTGATTGGCTCGGGTGACAGCTAATTACTCAAGAGTGTGTTTGTGCGTGTGTTATGCACAGTTGATATTATTTCATGTGGTTCTTTAGATATGGTGCTCTAGTTGACTGACAACTCACATCTGTTGTATTGTTCCTGCAGAGAACAGTCTTTTTGCAGGTACATGTACAAAGCGTGTTACGGTGTACTGGCATGTTTGTGTTTTCATTTCCTCTGGTTAATATTTGCTGTGGCTGTCACAAGATAAGATACTGCAGGGCTGTTTGTGTGTGTGTGTTGCGTCCATAAGTCTGCTGTGGAGAAGCAGTCTCTTTCAAACAAGGAATTAAAAAACAGATTAGCAAACTTTGGCGTTTTCTATGAAAATGTCTCGTCTTCTGAGAGAGACAACTGACCTTTCACTCAAACACACACACACTTGACTTTTAACAGACTGGTCTCAAGCTTATATGTCTATGACTTGGAGAACTCCAGCGCAAAATAAACCTTTGGTCTAATAACACATTGGTACCTAGTCGACCGTTCTCTGAGATTTGTTTTCATGATAATCGAATGTGAAGAATTGTATCTCTAAAAACGTTAAGCGTATAACGCTGGTATATAGGGCATCGAGTAATTAAAAATTAAAATCGCTAGTTAACTTAAGACCACTAACAAGGTTTAAAATAGCCCCACACTATCACAGTAACATAATGGGGGTCCCTACATGCAAAAGGAAGCATTGAGAACTTTGTAAGTGTACAGACCGTTTAATAAGAAGATATATGGTACATAGGTACCAATGTGTAATTAGACCAAAGGTTCATTTTGCACCAGAGTTCTCCTTTAAAGTCCCCCTGTAGTCAATAATTAAAAGTATCCCTTAAAAGTAATCTATGATCACCAAAATTACATATTTAAACATTTTTCCTCAAAAAAAAAAAAATCTTCATGCCTTAAAATAGCTTGAATGTATCTCTACACCCTTGCCTCATTTAGTATACTTGGTTTTATGAATATGCAAATTAGCACTGCTTCCACTCACTCACACGTTGACCTGATTGGTTACAAGGTAGTTTATGATGTCAAAAACAAAAAATACTCAGAAATGGCATTGACTTGTCTTAAAGCATATTAAAAATACCACATAGACGTACACTCACCTTAAGGGTTATTAGGAACACCTGTTCAATTTCTCATTAATGCAATTATCTAGTCAACCAATCACATGGCAGTTGCTTCAATGCATTTAGGGGTGTGGTCGTGGTCAAGACAATCTCCTGAACTCCAAACTGAATGTAAGAATGGGAAAGAAAGGTGATTTAGGCATTTTTGAGCGTGGCATGGTTGTTGGTGCCAGACCAGCCGGTCTATTTCACAATCTGCTCAGTTACTGAGATGTTCACGTACAACCATTTCTGGGGTTTACAAACAATGGTGTGAAAAGGGAAAAACATCCAGTATGCGGCAGTCCTGTGGGCAAAAATGCCTTGTTGATGCTAGAGGTCAGAGGAGAATGGGCCGACAGATTCAAGCTGATAGAAGAGCAACTTTCACTGAAATAACCACTCGTTACAACCGTGGTATGCAGAAAAGCATTTGTGAAGCCACAACATGCACAACCTTGAGGCGGATGGGCTACAACAGCAGAAGACCCCACCGGGTACCACTCATCTCCACTACAAATAAGAAAAATAGGCTACAATTTGCAAGAGCTCACCAAAATTGGACAGTTGAAGACTGGAAAAATGTTGCCTGGTCTGATGAGTCTCGATTTCTGTTGAGACATTCAGATGGTAGAGTCAGAATTTGGCGTAAACAGAATAAGAACATGGACCCATCATGCCTTGTTACCGCTGTGCAGGCTGCTGGTGGTGGTGTAATGGTGTGGGGGATGTTTTCTTGGCACACTTTGGCCCCTTAATGCCAATTGGGCATCGTTTAAATGCCATGGCCTACCTGAACAATGTTTCTGACCATGTACATCCCTTTATGGCCACCATGTACACGTCCTCTGATGACTACTTCCAGCAGTATAAAGCACCACGTCACAAAGCTCAGATCATTTCAAATTGGTTTTTTGAACATGAAAATGAGTTCACTGTACTAAAATGGCCCCCACAGTCACCAGATCTCAACCCAATAGGGCATCTTTGGGATGTGGTGGAACTGGAGCTTTGTGCCCTGGATGTGCATCCCACAAATCTCCATCAACTGCAAGATGCTATCCTATCAATATGGGCCAACATTTCTAAAGAATGCTTTCAGCACCTTGTTGAAGTTCTGAATGCGAAAGGGGGTCAAACAGCATTAGTATGGTGTTCCTAATAATCCCTTAGCTGTGTATGTGCGTGCGTGTGTGTGTGTGTATTATATTTATTTTTAAACTGCATATTCTCATACTTTTCAGTTTGCTTTACTATTATTCTAATGTGTGGGAAGTTGTAATAAAGAATGTGCAAGTGTGTCCAAACTTTGGAATGATAGTGTTGTTCAGGACTAAAATTAAGTAGAAGAGCTAAAAAACCTAAATGCTCAGATAATGCCTTCCCTTGGTAAATTTGTGAAATAACACTCCTTTTGTTTTCATATCAAACAGATCAGTGGAGCCTCTCTTTGAGCTGGGATGTTATTGTTAAATTCTCCGAAGAAACTTGGCTTAGATTGTTTAGCATGTGCAGTTTATTGTCTCTTCATCTTTTCCCTATTTTGTTTATTTTCACACGTGTTAACGACTTCACAGCTTGCCCAGAACAACGGGAGAATTAGCCAACACAGGCTTGATTAAACAAGCGAAAATATGGTACGACAGACCTGTGTTGTGTTTAGAGATCGGGAAGTTTGTAGAGGCGTAGAGATATGACAGATGTGCTGTGCATGTAAGTGTGTGTATCTGTGGCAGTCAGAGCTCATGGCCGCTGGATATGGATGTTCTCGCCAGAATGACCGTGTGTCCACCTCTCTTATCTTCTGCAGATCCCTTCCTTTCATCTCCTTTCAGACCTACAGGGTACTGGACAAACCCCTCCCTAAAATATAGTCCCCCTCAACACTCACTCACACACACACACACACCAAGGCTGCTATCTCACTTCCACAGATGAGGACCTTCATGTACAGGCCAAATTACATCGCCCCTCATGATCCTCGTCCCACTACCACACACACATTATGGTTGGTTCCCATCTCACCTGGCTCATTCATGGTCCCCTCCTCCTTGGTTAGCCATCTTTCCCTCCCTTATCCTTCCCCTCCTGTTGTTTTTCTGCCTTTGCCTCGACTCTAATCTGAGTCTGCGTGACATCTGGAATGTCCTCTGGTTTTGATCGAGATAGTCAGGAAAGCGAGTGGGGGTTGGGGGGGGGGACGTAGACGGACACCTCTAAACACTGTAATTTAAAGAATCTATTGTGTTAATTACACAGCAGAGGTTCAGTTCTGTTCTCTGTATTTGTTTTGTTCTTTGTTCAGGATCTTCAGTGACAGTGAGGCAGACATGAAAACCCAAGAGCACCGTTCCAGCCCTCTGAAATCACACACACAGAGTGAGTATAGAGATAGTAATATGCAGTCTTTTGAAGCACATCTTTTAGGGTCTTTAATAATACTGTTGCAGTTGTACTCACAAAAAATGCTGTCTGATTTTGTAGTATTCAAATAGATCAATCAATACAGTACTTTTCAATTGTTTAATGTACATCATACAGACGTTACATCATACAAACATTTTTTGTTCACTTAAAGTTAAACACATTCTGCTCCATTCAGCTTATCCTCAAAAATAAAGAATGCTTTCTGTGTGAACATCCCTTAATCCTAATAATTTGCTAATTGTTCTCCAATGAATCGATCACAAAGAGCCACCATTAATAACACTGTAACCAATCACACAATTGGTTAAATTGAGTCCCATTTTTATGGCTGTGCATATTGAAATGTTGAGTTGGAAAAATTGAAATCACTTCAAAAGTCACATACTCTGGTATCTGCCCATTCCTAGTAGTCATAAAGAATTATACTACAAAATTAGGCAATTTTGTAACATTAGCCCATCAGGTAAGTCCCCATGACCTATTGACCAACATCTGGCCTGCATTCCTTTACGCATGGGTGAGGTGTAAACACACACATATGCACACTGAATTCATTCTCACAAAAACATTCTGGTGTTTACAACAAAAAAAACAGACCTACACATAGATATATGTGGTGGCTGGAGCGTAACCTTTCTACTAACATAAACACCAGATCTAACCTTTGAACTCTTCACCTTGCTTTCTGCTAATTGGTCTGTGATGCTCTTCTTTTTCTTCGTGAACATTACTGTGGCTAAAAATAAGTCCCTATTTCTTGCACCTAAATAGAGTACACTCCACTCCTTCTGCTGTACTCATCTTCCTTTTAGGCCAGGTGAAAGCCATCTCTGTATGATGTTTCTTTTTTTTTAACCTAATTAATTCTATAGTTGCCTAAATGGGATTAGGAATGCACATACAGATGAAAAACCATGGAAACATCCTTTGAATTTTTTCCACCTTTATTAGAAATCTGATGATCTGATGCATTTAAACTGATAAATGCATATTTTAAATGCACTGTAAGCCACTTTGGATAAATGTGTCTGCCAAATGAATAAATGTAAATGTACTTTTTTTTATCTCTGCTGAGCTTTTTCATATATTTCCCATTAGTTATTTTTCATGTCAGCCGTTATATTAGACAGAAGTCCGCAAGGTTCACAGTCATGATGTGTTTTGAATATAGTTTAATGGTTATTCCTGTTCATGTAATAAAGCTGCTTCTGCTGGGCCATGTTTATGCTTTAAAGTAGGGTAATTCCTTCTCCTTGCATGTGTGTGTGTCAACATGAATTAGGAAGCATGGAAAGTTATAAGACTTAGTGAGCTGCTGCATGAACAAGAGCAATACGTTGAGCTTGAATCAAACTCTTTGCCCCAGGGTGAATTGGTGTATGTGTGTAAGAAACAATGTAAAAGGAGAACAGGGTTAGACCCTTTTTAGTTCTGTACATCTGATTTCTTGAATGACAAAGTTGAAGGTGTTATCTAATCTTGTTTTGACAGGTGATGCACGGCCCCACTCCCAAATTAAGGGTCTCCAGTTTCGCAGCATTGCACCCAAAGCCCCTGCAGTGGTTCCATCATCTGCAGTCCTGTCCTGCCAACCTCCTTCAGCCCTTCCAGAAGCATCCACGGCTGTCAGCCCTAAATCCATCCTGGTCCCTGCCCAGAACTATGCACTCATGCAGGTGGCTGGACAAGAGGGAACCTTCTCATTGGTTGCCTTACCTCAGACACAACAGCAACAGCCAATCCAGAAGAACCTTAAGCTGCCTATTCCTAGATACCAACCGGTGAGAAGCAAGAGCGCTACAGAAAAAGGCAGTAGCAAGTTGCTGAGTCCAGCCAAGGTTTCTGCAACCACTCAAGCTCAATCATCTGCTGTGAAATCAGAACAGAGTTCAGACCCAATATCTGAGCAGCTTATAATAGACACTCCTACTTCTTCTGAAATCATTATTGCACCATTGTTCCCTGGTGCACAGACGGATCGAAAAATGGAACAAAAGAGCGATACCCGTCCACTCAAAAACCAGCACTACCCTTCTGGAACCTCCCTTGTTGCCCCTGTCAAGAAAATGTCACCAGTTAAAACCCAAATAGAGGGTTCAGCCTCGGCTGGCAGTGCCATCACAGTTCTCTCTCCCACTATCTTTAGCAAAGCTGTTCAGATCATTCCATCTCCACCCAAGGGCAAGCTGCCCATCCTGCCCTATGCCAAGGTGAAGAACTCCCTCCTGGTACCAACCAGCCTTGCCAGCACCCCATTCTCAGACAAGCAGACTCTGAGTGGAGCCAAAAGCAGCCTGAAAAGCCCTCCAGACAACAACATCAAGGCCGTAGACAGCCAAGTTAAAAGTGAAAGCCTGAGCCAAGACCACAACAACTCCCAATTCAAGAAAACTCAAGGCAAAAAACGTGGGAGGAAGAGGAAAACCATGGAGGACATTCTGGCCTTCGAGGCCCGAAAGAAGAGATCCTTGTCATTTTTCAGTAGGAGGGTACCTGAGAAACCTCCAGTTGGTGTTCCAAATTCTGCATGTCAAGAGAAGTTGCTGGACATATCCAAAAAGTATCGTAGTATTCGTCCCAAGCCGGTACTGGTAATGGAAACCGCTATTCCACAACTTGTACCGCTTCCTTTGTCAACACCAGACAGCCCTGATCAGGAGCTAGTTTTAGGACAGCAGATATCAGGAAAAATATTGAGTGCCCAGTCTTCACAAGCTACTGATCACCAGCCCATGGCAGATTGTAAAGATGGTGGAGGTGTGATTTACACAAGTCGTCCTCTTTACCGATGTCCTACCTGCAGCAGGTGTTTCCAGTTCAAGCATCACTTGCAGAGCCACATGAACAGCCACAGTAACCTGCGGCCCTATGTCTGCCCGGTATGCAGGAAGGCCTATGCTCACTCGGGCAGTCTTAGCACTCATATGAAACTGCACCATGCGGAAAGCAGGCCCCGGAAGAGCCTTTGCTGTGAATTCTGCGATAAGTCATTTGGCTATGTGGGTGTCTACTTCAGCCATTTGAGAGAGGTGCACCGGGTAATACTCACTGTCGAGCCATCCATCAGTCAACATGAAGAAAACATGTCTGTAGAAGAGTAAGTATCAAACATTGACTCTTGAGCGTTGACGGTTGCTAAAGCCGCCTTGTTCTTGACATAGATGATCCTTGTCTTGCAGGTCTTCAGATGCCGATGAACAGGCCTCAGAACAGCGTGTTGACCCAGTCGAGCTACAAATTAAGTGTGGGCGCTGCCAGGCCATCACACCTACCTTTGCTGACATGAAGCTGCATTTGTTGTACGTGCATGGAGAGGAGGTCCAGGTCCGGCCGAGGGATGGGGTCATGCGTGGGGGCCGTGAAGCAGAGGATGAGCTGGTCAAACATGCAGCACATTACTGGAGGCAACTCAATGAGAAACGCAACCTAGTGCACTGCGGCACCTGCAATGAGGAGTTCTTCTCCTTTTCCAAGTTCAAATGCCACCTGCATTCTCACCATCAAGGAGCTAGAGAGAGTCAAGGAGAGGAGGAGGAGGAGGAAGAAGAAGAAGGGAATGGTAGGTAAGGAGGGCCATGTATTAAGGGGCCTCAATAAAGGTATATCCCTGAGGGTGGGATCTCACTTTAACTGCATCCTTTGCAGTAAGGTGTTTAGTAAGAGACCAGAAGTTATTGAGCATTGGAGGGCACAGCACAACTGTGAAAACCCCACCCTTCTTTGGGATGTCCTGGACTTCAAAGGGGAGAACAAGCCTACTGATGGGCCAAATTAACTGCAAATGGGTAATTTATTATTTGCGTCACGTGTCGATTGTGTGGTTTATGCAGAAAAAATCCACTAATAGACTGTTGTTGTTGTTGTTGTTGTTGATGTTTTCATTTTGCACTGTTTTAAATATCACAAATGTTGTTTTGTAATGCTTGAATTTTGTTTAGTTGTTTTATTTTTGGTCTTTTTTCTTTTACATTTTAATGTTTTATGCATAAAAGCATTATAAAATAACCCATAACATTCAAATCACAAAACTCAAATTCTATTAAATTCATTACCGTGGCCCAGCTGTAGATGTAATACAACTGCCAGCAATTGAAAGACCCAAGTATGATAATAACAATTTTTAAGGTTTGTGGAGACATAGTGTGCTAATAACTGCTTCAACTAAAGTGAATCAGGTGAAACAGATAACAAAGGCTCATCAAACACATTGGCACTCAGACAAATTGAAAATTTGCAGTAGACTGAATACAAATGGGTCATGATTAGCATGCTTGAAATAACATATCAAAGAACACTCAAAGTAATACGAATTATCAGTGACATTCCACAAACACATAACCATAATCACACAGTTTCAGTCCTATTTCCACCACTAAAATAAATACTGCCGGAAAACCTCTGCTGACAGTCACTTTTCAGTCCAAGACAAACAGGTCCACTAATAAATATTTAAAATATCCCTGAGAATATAAAACTCAATTTGGCCAATCTTCAACTGTTAGCTTAAGTATGAATGCGTGTGCGTCATAAATATTCTGTGTTGTATTTTTGGATGGAAATGTTATATATTTAAAAGAATTTTCCACGGTGAAATGTTGTGGTGCTTAATTTATATTATCAGTCTATTCCAACATATTTGTTTTTCCGTTCATAAAAAATATTTCAGGGTAAAGGAATGTTAAAAACCCTCTCAATTGTTATATATGTATACTTGTATAGATAGATTACAAATATATATAAATATATATAAAAATACTATATACAAACTGTATTTTGAAAATATATATTTACACAAAGACTTTCCCCCATGGTTTTCTCCTAAAAAAAAAATCAAATGTTAAAATGTCTTAAATGGTTAGTTCACCCCAAAAGGAAATTTGTCATTAATTACTAATTATTAATTACATTAATTACGATGCCTTTACAACCTTGAAATTGGTGATAATGATGCTTGCAGTCTATCTGGGGGTCAAAAAGCTCTCGGATTTCATCAAAAATATCTTAATTTGTGTTTTGAAGATGAACGAAGGTCTTACAGGTTTGGAACGACATGAGCATGAGTAATTAATGACAGAAATTTAATTTTGGGGGAAAATAATCCTGTTTGTTTTTTTTAAAACCTGCAGCTTCCACTAGGCTACACTACCAGTCAAATGTGTGAGCACACTTGACAGAGTTCTCAACGTTTTAAAAAACATTTTATAACCAGTATGTAAAGGTCTTTTTTTTTTCTTTTTTTTTTTTTACAAAACTAAACTTTTAATTAAAATGCAAATAAATGGATAATGGGGCCTATTAGTAAAGAATAAGCAGCTAACAAGTGTCCAGACATGGCATCTCCTTTTGAATTGTTTAAAAAGCATCCCAGCTGGATACTTCATGAAGTTTTTGGAGAGAATGAGTGTGCATAGCTGGAATCTAGGCAAAGGTTGGCTACTTAAAAGCTAAAATACAGTGCATGATTTTCACCCTGATTTGCAGTCTGTAGGAGTTGACTCAAGTTGCTGAATGTTAGGCAAGATGGAGATTTTGGGCAGTCAGAGTTGCCAAATTTGACAGAAAACCACATACTGTATAATGCGCACAGACTCTAATTCCATCTATTTGGAGGATATAAAATATATTTGATATTTTGAGTTGATTTTAAAACAATTTGTTGTGTTCGAAAGTCTGGTAGAGTGTATTAGCCTGGGAAAACCCAGACAACTTGCGGCAAATTTAGATTTGCTCTGAAAGTTAGTCTGGCAAAGAGCTCATTCAAGCCCATTTCCATTTTCGATATCTGTCGAAATCGAGGCACCAATCAGAAACGTTGGGGCGGGCTTTACACGATGATGACAGTGCTGGGATTTTGAAGCAGATTTTGTAGCCTACATTACAAAGATGGACTCCGCCGTCGAACATCACTCGCTCGAACCAGCTATCGCGTCTGTTTTTAAGCGATTTGAACGTTTCCTTTTTGTTAAACCGAGCAAAGAACAACACCCAGAGATGTTTCTCCGCCAGCCGCCGCTCTGCATACGTCATCTCCTTCATCGCTCTGATTGGTTTTAGGTCTACCTGCGACATCCACTGGTGACGCCCCTCTGGTAATGATTTGTCTATGACACTTTGCTTTTGTTACAACTGAGAATGGTCTGGTTTTAACCAGACTAAGAGTGTATAGTATATGATGCCCAAATTTGGGTCACGCTTCCTTTTACCGTACAGTACTTACAGTGTACTTACCTAGAAAGCACTGGCTAATTTAGGTAAGTATGGGTTAGGCGGGGTAGGTTTAGGGGTTAGTACCTAGTTATTACCCGGTAATTATAATTACTATAGTAAGTACATGGGTAACAGGACTGTAAAAGGAAGTGTTACCAAATTTGTCTGTAACCATTTACAAGTGTATAGTCAGCAAGTGTTTGATGCCTAGTTTTTTTTTTTTTTTTTTTAATCTGTAGTGTATTCCAACCTTAACAAAATTTTATTTGTTATTTCATAGTTGACTTCACTATTATAAAAATATGGACTTTAGAAAGGATAAAGAATGAGTAAGTGTGTTCAAACCTTAGACTGGTGTATTTTCTGTAAACGGTTAGAACGGTTGCAATGTAAAGTGAACTGATAAAGTTCACTAACAATACTTTCTTGGCAACAAAACAAGCCGTAAAGTGCACCAGTTGAAGTCATATTTTAGATAACCTAAAGTCAACAATTGTATCAGTCATCAAACAGACAACTGCTGCTTGACTTGTGGAAATTACCCCTGAAATGTTTTCATTGTGGAACTTGCTCTTAAGAGAATGAAAATAAATGTTTTGTTTAAAATGTGGTCTTATTACATTTAAAGTGATTGTTTTATGATGGGCAAAATACTTTTCAGGCTTTACGCCTTTATCAACACTTTCTTTGTGGTTCTAAGCCATTAATGACAAGTGTCTGGTAGCTTTTCCCTGCCACTGTGATAGTTAACCTTGTCTGTTTTTGGCTTACACCAAGCACTGAGTAGCAAGAGAGCTTCGTCCCTGCATTATTGATTATCGGTGCCTAAATAAATCTATCGAACTACAATAATATTCTGTGTGTTTATTGTATGCCACAACCTCATGGCTGTCTGACTTCCAGCATCTCTCTAATGAACACAATTGAACACATAAGCTGCTGCATCTTAAAGGCTTACCTTATCCCATACAAAGACATTTACCGCAAGACTTCATTTGTAGGTTGCACAGAACAGTGAGCAGTGTAAGGCAAGAATTAAATCAATTTCAGCCGGACACATGATGGATTCATATTAGTCTGTGTATTTTATGCAACAACCCATATTCACTGAAGGAGTGCTAATGCTTCTATATTGTCTGCTTGAATGTCTTGCATCATTAAATTATCACTATAGTCGTCATTATATTGTAATACTAACAGACACATTTCGAACATTAGAAAGAACGTCTTTCCCACCTCAGTGTGATTTTTAATCACAAACATCTGGTATTTTACAAGTATATCGCTTATGATTGTGAATTAAGGTTTTTCATAACACATTTTTATATTGTATTCCTCAGTGCTTCCTGTGCAGCTCAGCCTCTGATTTATAGCCTACATTAAATGATCATAACTTCTCCGTCCCAATAGTGCAGTCACTTCCGATGCAAGTAGTGAAGGAAAGTCAACACCGATGCATATTCTTCTTTAATCTGTGTGGCACTCTTTCTCACTTCTACTTTCTACACCAGAAACATGATCACTCGCTGGAGATCAAAGCCCATCCTTCTAACAGGATTAGAGGATGGAGATTTAGAAGGAGAGTGTCTGTTTTAAAGTAAAAGGATGTAGGATGTTGCAGGGAGAGAGAAAGGAAGTAGGGAGAGAGACAAAAATAATAAAATGCTGGGGAAGAAATGGCAGAAGAAATGATGAGGATTAATTCTTCATGAACCATGATGATTGGATACTGATAAAATAATGATAGTGACAGAGAAAGTTCTCACACCCCAAAAAAAGCAGCAGCCATTTTAATATAGCATTAACCTGCATGGAGACTAATGGGAGCAAGAAGCTGTATCGATCTGGTTTGTTTGGAGGAGGAATCGAGAGATTATGTTGAGCCGAAGATGAATGAATAAAGTAATGGGTGTGTCTAAAGTAGATAACCATCACTTGCATTAACAGACCTGGAGTGTGATGTGAACTGAATGAACACATGCTCTGGAAGGAGAAGTTTTAGCAACATCGAAAACTGTTAGACGACCAGCACTTTATGTGCATCTCACCTCTTGTTCGTAATATGATCCATTCGATGTTATAGAGGATATTCAATAATAGAAAATGTAGGATAAGACTTTAATTGATCCACAAGGAATTGACTGGAATGTAAAACGCTAATTTAATCTAAACATCCTAAAAACAACATTCATTTTTGCAAAATTGTGTATTCGCTTAGTGGTAAATAGATTTTTCTTGTTTTATGTGTAGTAAACCTGTCTAAATGTATACTTGTTTATTATGAATCATTTTATTAAGGATCCATTAAATTGATTTGAAAAAGATTTAATTTTCAAATATATGCTGATCTTTTGAACTTGCTTTTCATTAAAAATAATATCACGGTTTCTGCAAAAATGTTAAGCAGCACAACTGTTTTCAACATTGATAATAATATGAAATATTTCTTGAGCATATTAGAATGATTTCTGAAGGATTATGTGACACTGAAAGAGTAATGACTTCCAAAAGGTTAGCTTTTGTATCTGGAATAAATGACATTGTTATGTAAACTTTAATAATATTTCCCAATGTTCCTGTTTTTACTGTATTCTTGAACAAATAAACACAGCCTCGGTGAGCATATAAGAGACTTAATTTAAAACATTGAAAAATATTTCCGACCCCAACCGTTTTG